ATATATATATATATATATATATATATGAGTTCTGAGTTCTCATCCAACACCCCATATCGTACATAGGTGGTGTAATTTGTTAAATCCTATCAATTGGTTGTAAAGCACGTATGTATGAATTCAAATGTCCCCGCCAAATTTCGAATGAATGTTTTCCGTTTCTCTGATTTCAATCCCATGTTTACTACATTTGTTGTGCAAGAGTCACCGGAATTCAAAAAAAGAATCGTAGGAGATATCAAAGTAACATCAAATAAAAATAAATAATACTCACTTTAATTAGCTCCGACTGTTTCAAGACATTTTTACATAAAACGTTGACACTTTTTTTAAACATTTTAGGAAATAACGTCCCTACTTATAACTATGAAGTTCGAAACAATGTGAATAGTGATAAGGTTTATTTTTATGGCCTTGACCCACGCTTCGTTAATTTTGATTACGAGATTAGTATTACAAAATGGATTTAAAAGTTGTTATGAATGATTTGATGTTATATCGGTTATACCTACTGACAATGAGGTTCTATTGCAGTAGAGTCGATATAGGTAACTTAATTGCAATATTTCCCTTTGGTGGAATTTATTTTAATGGTGAAATTGTGTTTATTTTAAGAATGCACAATTATTTCGAAAATTATTTGTTCAACTAATGAGGTACAGTCTAGGTACGACAAAAATATGACAAACCTACCAAATGAAAATATGAAAATTACTAGTTCTTCAAAATAATGATGATGATAAAAATACTTCAATTTTAAATTATTTACTTGGTGAAAAGCAAGTATAATAGCATTTTAGGTCCAAGACTAATGTGCTATGACCAAGTTATAATGACGTGATGAGTCACTTCTGTATCCCTAGAAGGCGTAGGAGGACACAAAAATGATTTTGAAAAAAATCCAGTGAATTCCGAATTTAAAGTCGGACGGTAATAAAAAAATGAGTTTGAAGTCAATATTTAACAATAGTTTCGAGATTGAAGCCGGAATTTAATAAAATTTCATTATCATTAAAATGTTTGTAAATTCCCATTTTCAAACTCGAAATTTTATCAAATTTCGACTTCAAGCTGGGAATTAAGAATTTAACTATAAAAAAATATATGCCCCTTCTACGCTTTAGTATATTTAATAATAATATATCGACTTTACGTATTCGAAAAACACTTTATNAATCAATACTCCTGACCGCTCTGGATTGAATTATTCCGTACAGTCCATCTCGTCTTGTGTTTGTAAATCTTTTGCTGGAAAAATCCTCACTTGTTTACTTTGCAGTAAATGTTCAAGAGGTAGGTAGTGAAAACTTATGTAAATTTCTGGAACTTCATCTAGTGTTTCCTAATACCGATGCATAATAAGCAGTCCGTGCAAAGTTTATAGTTGAGTCATCTGAAAATGGAATTTTTAACAGGTGATGATCGACTGTATTGCCAAACATGCGTTAAACTAACTGACTGTTATAAGGAAATAAGTATAGCTGAGGCACCAGTCAATCTAATAATAACACTGACTCAACCTCTGACTGAAGCAAGAAACTGTTTCGAAAGTTCGAAATAGATTAACATTTCAATCTAGTAGACCACTATTATAATATTCATGCAGTCATTGTTCACTGTGGTTCTGGCATTGAATTTGGTCATTATTACGCCTTGGTCAAAGACAAAACGGACTGGTTTAAGTTTGACGATAGTCGTGTCACGAAGTGTTCTGGCGATGTATTGAATCTTTTGGAGCCTCTGGAGACACCCTACATTTTATTTTATGAGAGAGAGGACATTGGCAGATGGCGGGTTTTCCTGTAGCTGAAACAACAAATGCGCCACTCGAATCAATGAAGTCGCCCCGGAACGCCAATTATTTTTTATTGTTGTTTTTATTTTTATCGTTGTTTTATAATTTAATTGCATATGATTTTTACAATAATCTTATTTTTGGCAAATATGACAAAAATAGCGTTTACAGTTTGTACATTTTATATAGATGTTGGTGAAATTTCTGATTATCATTTTTGAGTGAGACCTGGTCAAAATTCGAACAAAAACGTCATTGCTTTCAATAACAAAAAGTGTTGCTAGGCAGCGTAATGTCCGATTTACCGGCCCAAAATGTGAAGAAGGTAAGTTGATTTACTGAACTAAATAAATTAAATTAAATTTTCACTTCTTCATCAAAGGAGGGATCTTGCAACAACCTAAATTATCCCAATTCCTGGGAACTTTTGGTCATAGAAGGGAGTGGTTTATCACACAGTTGTAATTTTCCTCATTTGAAGCGTGGTAGAATTTGGATGCTGTTACTTTTTTGTGCCTTTTTGATTGAACGAACTGAATGAATTGATCATCCACCTGCACGTCGTCTTGATTTCAAACAGGTTGGAGCCTGGCTCCCTTACCCTTTGGACTGATGTAAGTTGATCATAATTATTTGAAGAAATTAATATTTCATCTCTATCATTCTGAAGAGATTTGCCGACTACCCTGACGAATCAGACACTTGTTGGTAATATCGTGTGAGCTAGTTTTCTTCATTAAACTTTGATTAGTGACCTCGCCCTCAATAAATCGAAATTGGTTCGTTCATGACTCGTTCTGTTCAACCCCATATCGTCTAAACACCTGCACATATTTTGTAACTAGCTCTCAATATTAATAGTTCGTTAGGATTGATTTATGGCGGTCAAGAACTTTGAGTACAAGGTATTTTTTCATTACAGTGACTATGTATTGGGTGATATGTTGACCAAAATGGTATTGTGGATTGTGTTCTCACAGTGTTATCCGACGGAGAGTGAGATATTTCCTTCTCTGCTTACTGCCAATGCGTCTTTGGGTTTGTATAATTATTATTAATTCACGTTTGTAGTTGTGGTTGAACCGGAATTATATTCAATTCATATTCTTCAATGAGTTCCTGGTCTGTTCTTTGATTTCCCTATCAAATAAAAATAGCATTATTCTCCAGTCTCATAAAGGCATCTTGAATTGGGTGTCCTTTCAGTGCTGGAAAAAGTTTTTATTTATTATTTGTGTAGGTAGTTGGGAGAGAAATATTTCGAGATTTCATTTCCAAATATTAATTTTCTTATATGTTGGTATCTCTCCTCGATACAGTATTCAAACTTATTTAGGTATCATTATAGTTGGTTGCTAAATTGATTAGGAAAACACGCGTCGAGAAACAGTATTTTTGGGAAAGATAGGTTTTTGCCCAAAGTGTGAAAAGCTCATATTAAAGTGTTTCTTGAATAAGAGAATATGGTTGTTTTCCAGCAGGCATTCACCAGATCCTACTTGAAAAGTGCGCAAATGAAATCGCACCAGTATTTTGCAGACTTTTCAACATGTCTCTCAAGAAAGGGGTTTTTTCTTCTTGTTGGGAGATTGCTCGCGTTCAGTCTTCCCCTAAAAAGGGCAAGAAAACTCCTTCAAATAACTACAGACCAATTGCTTTGCTATCAGTGATATAAAAAATCATGGAGAAAGCCGTAAACCACGATATCCTCAAATATTTGGAAGGCTTCAACATCTTGAGCGATCATCAATATGGCTTTCGGAAACAATGATCAACAGGCGACCTTCTATCGTATGTCCATATTCCTTATTTGGAATAACGCAATCGAGAAACATGGAGAATCAAGAGCTGTTGCGCTTGATATTTCTAAGGCCTTTGACCGTGTGTGGCATGAGGGTTTGCTGGCCAAACTTCAATGCTATGGCTTGCTGGGTCATTTTTGTGTATGGTTCTTCAGCTTCCTGAAAAAACGTTCCCTGCAAGTGGCCGTCGAAGGATATCTCTCGAATAATTTCATAATCAACGCTGGTGTTCCCCAGGGATCCATATCATCTCCAACCAGCCAAGAATCTAATATATTGATTTGCTGACGACACTTGTCTCGTCATTCTATTTGGATTCCAGAACTTCGGTGATGGAGGCACATCTTCACTGGCCGCAGGAGGTTGCATATCTTAATGAGGAACAGTGTGTATGATTTGTATCATACACACTCGATAAAATATCTATCTGTATTTATATCATGGACCCGGATGTCACGCAGGTAGCTATAGCTGCCTACGTGGTCATGTTAGATGTAAAAGGCAGATATAGAGGAGTATCTTCTTTATGCCAAAAGCGAAATATTGAAACATGGTGGAATCAATATCCATTTTTATTCCTGGTCAGCAATCAACGTTAGGAAAGGTGAGTTTTCTAGTAACTGATTGATTGCAGTATACAGTATAATGCAAATATTAGCTGGGCTGAAAAATTTGTAGACTAGCAGACAAATGGCGCTATTAGTATGGAATCCATATGATTTTTAGTTAACCCTAACCTTCAAATGACACTTGAACAAATTTCACAGTTATCGGACTATTAGTTTGATAGAACATTTTGAGTGAAGCAACTTTTGTTAGTTTGAAGAAAATGGATAAAAAGGAATTTCGTGTGTTAATGAACTATTGTTTTTGGCGAAATAAATTAAAGCCAATGATTGGCTTGATGAACATTATTAGGACTTTGCACCAGGAAAATCTACCGTTGAGAAGTGGTTTGCGGAGTTCAAACGAGGTGAAATGAGAACCGAGGACGATGCATGCAGTGGATACCCAAAAAAGGCTATTACAGACAAAAACATAAAAAAAGACCAAAAAATTATTATTAAATGACCGCAAAATGATGTTTACCGAGATAGCTGAGGCTCTAAAGATATTAAAGGAACGTGTTGGATATATCGTGCATGAATTTTTGGGGTATGAGAAAGCTCTGTTCAAAGTGGGTGCCGCGCGAGCTCTCAATTGACCAAAAACAACAACGAATTGATGATTCTGAGTAGTATTTGAAGCTGTTCCACCATGAAAAACCCGAATTTAGAATTTATGCGTCAATATGCAACAACAAATAAAACATGGCCCCATAATTTTACACCAGAATCAAAATGATCGTCATCTGAGTAGACTACACGTGGTCACAGCATAGGTAATAATCAGCAATGTCACTTCGCTTGGCGGGAGAAGTTCGCGCATAACCGTCTCGTTGATGAGTCCGCCATTTTGGGAAGTGCCAGCAGTGATGCCAACTTGGGGGGTTTTCCCCCTAAATTTAGGATATATAATTTGAAAAAGGGGATTTTTGGGGGTAAATTTTTCTAGAGAGAAAATGAATAATTGATATCGACACAAATGAAGAACAAGAAGATGATGAGTTTTTCAAAATTATTAATGAATTGGGAATTAATATAGTATAAGTATTCATGCACATATATGTGTGTTCCTTTGATGTATCTATTTTTTCATTTATTAGTTGATGTTGTGTACTGACGTACTCACATGAAGGCAATAAAAAAGTTACCATGTTTTAAAAATGTTATGTAACATTTTTCAATAACCTTTTTATTTGAAACTTCGTTATAATAAGAATATGAAGGTAAGTTAATCCATTAACTTGTTAACTGTTAACTGTTATAGCAACTTTGAATATTTAATTAGATTTTTCATTTACTAAAAAATTTTTGGGTATCTTGGTTTGAATTTAGGGGTTTTAAAATAGGATTAGGGGAAAAGATTTTGAGCAGTTGGCATCACTGAGTGACAGGTGCCAGACTTTCTCATTCTGCTTTCGGCTTTGGTCTTGTTAGGACGTATATGTTACCTGTGTTCTATGCGTATCGTTTGTGTGAGCTATTCTAAAACACATTGTGAATTAGATAATGAATCTCTGTACTATTATTTCAGAGTATTTCGTAATGGAACTTCGGTAACTTAAGGATGCCTAAAAATGAATTTGTTTATTTTATTTCCTCCTTGGAAGTTATAAACTTCCAAAGCAATTTTGAGAAGCTTATTGTAGCAACAAATGTAATTGCAGGATTTGCATCATTGTTTGAACAATTTATTTATAACCATCCATGTGAAAATTTCCCAATATCTCACGTTTTGAAGTTATATGGTAGAGTAAGATTATATTGAGGAGATACGTAGGTTTGCCAGACGTTATAACTTTGTGTTATCATGAATGTATCATGTATCATGAAAGATCGTAGGAGTAAAACCACCCCTCTGACTTTTCCCGAATAACGTCGACATATTTCAACAAATTCACCAAAAATATTTTTAAATTATGTACTTAAACCTTCCTCTTGAATCACTCCCATTCATTGATAAAAATCATACGTCGGTATCGTCACTCACTCTATACTTAAAAAAAACCTTCTTATTTGTTCAGGGAGGAAGAAAGTGCCAAATAGAAGAAATTATTGAAGCGTTCACGAGGGCCTTAGACGAGGCGGTGCAAGAAGAATCTGATACCGCGAGCCAAATTGCAGAAGAAGAATGGGAAGCTATCAGACCAACAAAAGTGGAGAGAAGGGAGTTCTTGTTGGGCAAAATCAAAGTAGGAAAGTTTGCTTTAAAATCCAGCATTGTTATTTGTGAAATGTATCTTCCACACTACCCCTTTGGGGTTCTGTTCGGAATTTTCTATTTATGTATGAATGACTAAAACCTGACTTGATAGGTACCACAAATACAAAAAAAACCCTGACAATGTCTATTTACTAGTATTGAACAATGACCAAATACTAGAAAGCATTAGTTAGAAGTGAACTAGAACATTTACGATAATAGCACCAGATTTTTATTATCAATAGTTTGTTTAATTGGTTCAGCTAAAAATATATTTATCGTTAATAAATTCTGTATTTTTCCTAATTAAATAACATACTGACATCAGCTAGTCCTTTTGCTTGTAGAAAATTCTAACATACGTATCCTGTGATAGTTCAGTCCTCACTTTCGAAGTTAAAAATAAGTTTTATATACGCAATATAAAAAATATTGAGTACTATAATACAAATATTTTCATATAACAACCAACACACAACACAACCAACATAAATATTACTGATTGTCACAAATTCACATCCATCTAGTAGTTGAGAAACAAAAATTGTCTCGATTTCCGTTAATTTGTAGTCAGTAAACTATTTCTTGGCAGTAGTATTCACATTTATTGTGGAATGTAATGTGATATAATGTACCTTTAAATTGAAAAAAGATTAGAGAAACTAATCATACGAAGTCTTATCAAATTATACGGAACCTCATTTAATTTGTCGAAAAGATAATCCCTTACTTCAGTAAAGAATTCACAAGTATTATTGAAATAAACATTCATCTGTGAATCCAAATTTCCTTCTTTTCAGAAATATATTTCAAAGAATGGGATATGTGATAATTGCACCTTCTGGGAGATGAAGACTGGAGAAACTTGGGGACAGGAATACCAAAATCTTAGTAGGAATATTACGTCACAACTGATTCCCGTAGGAACATGGAGACCTAGTGATGGGGCTACGATGATTGACGAATTATTTTTACACATCGCCCACGGTTTCAGAAAGAAAATTTTGCCAATGGTGACCTTTCATGTAAGTTAACGAATTTTTGAATCAACATTTTCTACTCAATTCCTCGATTATCAACCATTCGTTTTCGAAATTGTTGTTACTGGTCAACCNGTTTTTTGTTTAATTAAATTGTTATTTTTCGGTTAATCTCTTTAATTTTTTTACAGATTCTTTCAGGGATTTCAAATCAATTTATATTCTGTTTCAAAAATCTGTTTTAATCAGCTGTCGCCCCCATACGAACGACAACTCTCAGAAGTTGACAAACTTGTGCGAACTAAGGACTAACGAGGTCTTACCTTTCAACGTGTGATTTCTAACACGGTATATATTATATTAGACAATGGAAATCCGAACTGATGAAGTAAGGTTTGAGTGTATTTAATCGAATTTCGGTAACCACGTGATTTTAATTTATTTTATCCTAATTGTTGCAATAAACTTGAAAGCGATAACATTCTTGAATAGAGGATGAAGAGACCTTTCAAACGATATACCACAAACCTATACTTCCCATTTAAAAAATTTGGGGTTGTACCTGTCATTCGACGGAAGTTGAAGGTAGCGTTTTTCCGTTGAAGTACCTACGTCAAATTATAATTTAAATTTGACGTGTTTCGGGATTTTGTTAAAATATGTACCGTAACCAAAATAACCAATTTATTCCATTTGACCTTTACACACTGTAATAACAGTCAGTCGTGTGGTCTAAAGAAAGCACACTCGCTTTTTTATTCTAATGTATAATATTTTCAGATATTCCCTTGTAATATTAATAACTTTTTAATAGTTTATTCGAAACTAATTTTATTATTGTGAACTACAGTCGTACAAAACAATTCTTCTAACATTGCACTGCCATAATATATGCATTCTATCACACTTGTCATTTGTCATAATTCTCTAGCACAAGTACAGTGTGTTCGAATATAAACTTTCCATCAAATATACAAATAATTCAATCTTCAGTAAAAATGACTTGTTTTGATATAGGTACAAAAAATATTAAAATGGTAGGAAACAATTTCAAAGATTGCTTGGGGTAGAATGTGTTTGCTCCTCTATTTCGAAACTTTCGTTCAACTATTTTATTGACTATTTAATAGCGAAACAATTTTTTCCAGAGTCGGATTGTCCCAGACTACCAACCGATACTTCTCTTACAGTTCCATTGATAGGTCGTGGTCAGGAATTACCACAGCTATTATTGGATCTTCGAATTGCAGGGGTATTTGAGTGGAAATCTGTAGTAATAATATACGATACAACCTTAAGTAAGTAGGTCTCATAGTTTTATAATAACGAAGATAACACACCTTCGTCGATGCTCCTTCTATGATGCCGTTGTTTATTTATACTTTATACTTTTATATTTGAGAAGCATATATACTTTTCATCTACAGTGTGGTCCACTAAGTCTGCAACAAATGGGAAACTTTTTTATTATCGATTTCTCAGAAAATTTTATTATTGACAAAAGTTGGTACATGTTCCAAAACTATACCAAGTGTACCTGAAATGGCTTTATGACAAACACCATACAGGATAGGTCAAAAAATATAAAGTTCGTTCAAGAGTAAAGTACCCTTATTTCAAAAAATATAGAAATATGTTGAAGAGAAAAGTTGCTTAGAATTAAAAGTTATGGTCAGATACGAAGNAAATTTTACAAATACACTTCAATTTGATAAAAAAAGACTCCAAACTGATTTGATTGTGGCTACGGGGGTAATTCAAAATTTTCCAAAAGAAAAAAAAATGAATAGCAGGCCATGACTTCGTATCTGAACATAACTTTTGATTTTAAGCAACTTTTTTTTTCAACATGTTTCTATATTTTTTGAAATAAGGGTACTTTACTCTTGAACGAACTTTATATTTTTTGACCTATCCTGTATGGTGTTTGTCATAAAGCCATTTCAGGTACACTTGGTATAGTTTTGGAACATGCACCAACTTTTGTCAAGAATAAAATTTTCTGAGAAATCGATAATGAAAAAGTTTCCCATTTGTTGCACACTTAGTGGACCACACTGTATATTTGGTGAATAAACATTATTTTTTTAACCGTAGTTTTCGCTGATCAGGCCCTATTCCCCGAAGTCCCGATACATTCGGGAAGGCGCGCCAGCATCATCAACCAACGAACACTCCCCACACCGTGGGGTAAGTGATCATTGGGTCTGAGAATCAAGTACCCTGAGCAAGCGCAATGCACCAAGAATGACAGCTTTCTGCATCTGTCCTTCTAAGATTTCTGCCTTAGTGCGGCAAGCCGGTATGATTTTAAGATTCGAGAGTAGAGAGGACATCATTCCACCAAGAATTGCAATAATCAGATCATGACAGAGTGGTCTGGATAGAGTCTGCGGAGTACGAAGAGAAAATCTTGATATTTTATCCGCCGCTTTCCTCCTCTTTTTGGACGATATTCGTCTCGTCAGGAGGTGAAAACTCCACGACTAATATCGTCTTGCACTGGTGGTCGAGAAGGAATACATCAAGCTTATTAGCTTGTATGAACCTGAGGGTAGGGAACGAATAGTTTCAATAAATTCGGCACTCCTCGTGCCTCATATCCCCTCAATATCCCCCGGAGCGTAGGGCAACACCGGTGTCTTGTCAATACCGTAAGAGTGCCGTATATGGTGATATAACACTCTTAAGGCCTCGTTATGTCGATGGATATAGGCCGAGTCCCCATATGCTGGATATGCTGATAGCAAGTGCATTAGGGTCTCGTACGCCATACTTCACAATTTGTTCCCTTATTAGGAAACATTTCATATTTCATGATTGGATGAAAACATTTTTTTTCTTTTTTTTTCAGATACAGACTTGACGACGCGAATTATAAAGTCACTGACTCAACCATCAAATTATGCCGCCAAAGCAACAAGTATCTCTCTGATAAAACTGAAGCGGAACATTTCCAAAACTAATCTCAAATCAATTCTATCCATGATTGATCCTAAAACTGTCGGAGGTAACTATATTATGATGTTTATTTTATCACACTTATTCAGTTTATTTCATGAATATAGTGTTACGTTTTTCCCCATGGGTTGACCAATAATTGACGACACTGAATAATCAAACTTAACTTTATTTCTCTTTAAATACAACAAACACTATTATTTGAATGTCTATCGCCTTCTTTGAACGCTTCGCGTAGCGCACTGTAGCTTCCACTTGACTGTGTCGATATCCTCGTGGCTAGACTTTAAATATCGTAATCGAATGCCGTAGAAATTTCGCCGAAGTTCCGTCGAAATCGGTAGCATTATTCTCGCTGATTCTAGAGCGGCAGGGAACATTGTGCATTCGCGCGCTCTTAGCTACGTCACGTTTGGTTTACAGTTACCAGTGGCGGCCGGCGTTATTTTCTTTCGGGCATGATTTACAACAAAAATTATTTCACTTTTAGTTATCATTTTTTTTCTTCAGGTAACTTTCTGGTACTAGCCAGTTACTATTTGGTTGGAACCATTATGGACTATTCAAAGTCTCTAAACCTTGTTGACATCAGGAAACAGTGGTTGTATGTTATTTCTGATACTGATCGAAAATACCACGACATGCACGTGTTCCGGAATATGTTGAAAGAAGGTGACAATGTTGCTTTTATCTATAATACAACTGTGTTATCCAGCAATTGTGTGGTGAGTATGTCATGCTATGATTTACATGAAGTAGGCTACTTTCATTTTCCTCAGCTCTCTCAGCGGTTCGGTTTTTATCTCCTCAATCGTCGCAAAAGGCCGTCCTTTCATGGGTCTCTTCAATCTTGGGAACATGAAAAAGTCGCAAGGGGGTCAAATGTGGGGAATAAGGTGGCTCAGACATGATTACGGTGTTGTTTTTGGCAAGATAATACTCCTTATTGATCATTCGACCATGTGGCAAAAACTCTTGATGCACCTCGCCACGAAGCATTCTAGAACAACATTCTGGAACACACCCGAACATTGAAGTGATCAACTATAGTATGCAACGATTGAGAACATTCCAAAACAACTCAGGTCATTGTGAAACTATTCAGAACAGATTCGAATGCTATGGAAAGTTCTGGAACATTATGAACCATTCGAAGCCTTTTTTATGAGAGGGACTAGCGATAGTGGTATATAATAGAATATAATTTTTTTCACTAAAACATACTAACGAACATATGGATGCGTATCGAACCAACAGCGTTAAAACTAAAATACAAAAAATACAGTGTAGTATCACACACAAAATTGGACACTCACTGTTCATATTAGATTTATACAGGATGAAATGAAGGCTTGCCATTGGGGTGTGATTATACTCCCCCATAGAATGAAATGCTCTTTGTTTTGAAAAGACATTCACTCCGTTTTTCAGTTTTTATATATTTTCTGAATCTTAACATACTCTCAGATATTTATTGTAGCATTTAATCTGCATGAATTCGTGTGCTTTCTGTCCTAAAGCCAATCTTGAAAATGGTTGATATACCATATCCTTATTTTCATTTATTATAGTTATGAATATCCTCATTTTTGATAATATTTTCTTTTTTCTTCTCAAATCTAAGATGAGATTGTATACAGGGTATTTCAAATTCGATCCTTTCCATTGGGATCTCGGAAACTATGAAAGATACGAAGATGGTTAAACCGGGGCAAAGTTGCGCATTTACCTAACTAATAATATACCGTTGAGAAAGTTCTGAAATTCCAAGTATATCCGGAGATATCAGGAAAGAACAGAAATTCGGAAAATGGTTTTCATTTTTTTCTGGCTTTGTTTTTCGAAGGATTCGAAAATAAATTGCACTTCCACATTGCCACTTTTTCCCTGCTACACATACAAATTTTGAGAACCTTCAACACAACATTGTTAGAGAGTTCGGAAGATTGAGGAGGGGAGAAATTAATCGTGCAGAGAATAATATTTGAAGAAGGGCACAGTTGTGTTATCATGAACAAGGCCAGTATTTAGAGCATTTGCTGTGATTTACTTTGGTCTTTACATTTCAGTTAATAATTGTTATTTGTTCAAAGTTATATTTTAATTGAAAAGGACACAATGTCTCATTTACCTCATGCACACCTCATTTATCGAAATTTGATTGTTGATTCTGTCTCCGAATACATAGACTTCAGGTACTCG